GTGAGTACATCACTTCCTGTCATGCGCAGATCAGTACAGTAACTCGTGAATAGATGATTTAGTTATGTGTCATCCAGTCTAACTTCACTTTGTCTTGTTCGTGAACTTGTTAGGCCCTGTGTTAAGTACATTAAATTAGTTTTTACCTAAATTCCCTTTACAATTCACTTTCATTCCCTTTTCCTTAGACGAAAAAAGACGAAGCGGGCATGTTAATGTTTAGAAATGCTTTGAACTGAAATTTGTAATGCTTCACTTGTTGTTGTTGTTGTAGTTGTTGAAAGTTGGCAGTATTAAAATTACCTTTTTTCCTTTCCCTTCTTTTGAATTCAAATGGAACAGTGAAATACTTCAAGTAAGTATTGTAAGTAAGTAACAAAGTAAGAACTTTTTTCGTAATTTTGTTTCCTACCTAAAAATCAGACACCTGCTTAATTCGCCGAATCGCACGACATCCAAATGATCCTGGAATGACTCAACAAGATTTCCAGTACTATTCTTGTGCTTTTATTGAACTTATCTGATTAAACGCCCTTCTCACAGTCTTACCTTCTCGGCTTGTTCTCATTTGGCTGTGATTTCAGTCGAACCTCGCTATTTCGAACTCTCAAGAAAAACAAAAAATAGTTCGAAATAGCGAGCGTTCGAAATGGCCGATAGTCAATGACTGAAGGGCAAATCCAAGAGAAATAGTTTTGAATTCGAAATAACGGGGAATTTCAAATAACCGAGTTCGAATAAGCGAGGTCCAACTGTACAAATTTATTGGATTTGCGAAAGGTTAAATTATTAAACAGCTTCAAAATCGCGATAATTGTAGTTTTACGAGAGATATGTACACGTCACCGCTAATACGGAGACTTCATAGTGTCTTCTTACCTCGTCAGAAGATGGCGAAAAGATTGTTTGATTGACCAGAAAATCAACTGATACAGTGTTCATTCCTTTACGGTTTACAGGGATGGCGCGTTTGCCTTTAAGTACGCCAAGAAAAGGAAAGCTGAAGATATGCTCGCTTTCATGAAGGAGTAAGTAGAGGCGATTTAAATGGCTCCAAAAGAAAATTGAAGATAGTTTTTGGTTTCGACATTTCGTTGAGCATTTCCTCGTCGCGCTAAAAAAAGCAACCAAAGTGACCAATTTGTAGGTTTATGAAGAACGTAGATTATGCATCAATATTTACCTGTAAAGTAATTCTGACGCCAAGAGACATACTGACAAAATTTTGTCTCAAGATGGTTTCTGTTTGTCTGTGTTCCAGTCCCCAGAAGCCCGCCCCGTCTCCACCGCCACCTGACTGGAGTAAAGAGCCTGGTAAGGTGCATTTCCTTACGAACGAGACGTGGGATAAATTCATAGAAGAACATTCCTCAGTGCTAGTCATGCTGTTCAATCCTCGTAAGTAAGCTGTTAACTTTGATCGGTTTAAAATACTTATACATAGGCCCTTGATTACGGTTTGGTAATGTATTTTAGGTAGACTGTTTTTGTCAACAGCAGAAGACAGAACAACTTATCGGCAAAACTCGCAACAAATTCCCACCGCAATTTCGCTCGTTTTGGAGTCGTAAGTTCAAATCCCACCGAGGCCCTCCCTTCCAGGGCTAACGCTCAACTGAAAGAAATACTTGAGTTGATTTTTTGCTCTCCAAAGTACTTTACGGGTTAATTCTTTACTTCCGATCCAGCTTCAGACTTATCGGTAACCGGGGTAACATATAAAGAACCACGTGTTTTGCAGGTGGCGTTCACGTGTCAGTCAAAAGAACTGGTGCAAGTCTTTTATTGGTTTACCGGAAATAGAAAGAGCATTTTAAATGTTTTGATGTTTATCAAAACTTGATGCCTGAAATAAGTCCTTTTTTTGAAGTAATAAAATTCTAACATGGCACCCAGGCTTCAGGGAGTAAAGCAAAAGAAGTAACATCGAGAGTAACGAATGATTTCTCTTGTTTTATCATATTCCCCTAAGCCTCCTCACCAAGTTAGGACTATAGTATTTCGAAAGTGGCCTTTTAAGATCATAATGTAGAGGTGTGCGTTTTTGATGATTGTTTTTTAATTGTGTTGTACAAACTTTTTTTTTCTCCTAAGGCTGCGGTTATTGTAAATCCATGAAGCCAGACTACTTCAAAGCCGCAGAGATCCTGAGTGAGGAACTCGTAAGTCATCCATACGAACATTCTAACTTTGGGGAGAATGCTCTTGGCAATGATTGACAATGTTTACCAAGTTTATTTTCAGCCTCGCCATAGCAAGCTTCCTTCATTTCCTTATGTTTTTTTCTGTCATTTTTTAAAGCAGTTCAACAAAATCACATCATATTTGTTGGGTTTTCTGTTATCTAGGACTAGCTATGATTTCTGCCTCCGTTGTTTAAGTTTGTTGCATCATTGACTAACACCAATTCTTCTTTCATGTAGCCATCTGTGGCGTTAGCCGCCATTGACTGCACTCAATTCTGGTCCTTCTGTAAACAAATGGAAATTGCAGGATATCCCACAGGTAAATTTCGTCGCTTATTGATAATTTAAGCTTGCTTTAGGCTCTTGTATAAAATGCGCTACGTTTTCTATAGTTAACGATGCAGTTTCCATGAAGAATTGTACCGCGTACAGTAAAGAATATTTGCGTTCTAAGTAGCTCTGCGAAATGCAGAAGTGCCTTGCACG